AAGCAAAAACAAGAAGGCAGGTTACTACCTGAATGGCTGTAAATTGGAAGAGGGGAGTGTGCAGTGGGACCTGGGCATCCTTGTGCACCCATCGCCCAAGGTAAGCATGCAGGTGCAGCAGGTGGTAAAGAAGGCAAATGGTATGTTGACCTTTATTGCCAGAGGTTTCGAGTACGGAGCAGGGATGTGTTGTTGCAGGTATACAGGGTCTTGGTGAGACCACACCTGGAATATTGTGTGCAGTTTTGGTCTCCTTCTCTGAGGAAGGATGCTTTTGTTCTTGAGGGAGTGCAGCGAAGGTTTACCAGGCTGATTCCGGGGATGGTGGGTCTGACGTATGAGGAGAGGTTGACTAGGTTAGGATTGTTTTCGCTGGAGGTCAGACGAATTGGGGGTGGGGGGATCTCATAGAGACTTATAAAATTCTAACAGGACTGGACAGGGTAGATGCAGAGAGGATGTTCCCGATGGTGGGTGTGTCCAGAACCAGGGGTCACAGTATGAGGATTCGGGTAGATGATTTAGGACGGAGATGAGGAGACATTTCTTCACCCAGAGAGTGGTGAGCCTGTGGAATTCATTACCACAGGAAGTAGTTGATGCCAAAACGTTGAATCTATTCAAGAGGCGACTAAATATAGCACTTGGGGCGAATGGGGTCAAAGGTTATGGGGAGAAAGCAGAATTAGACTATTGAGCTGGACGATCAGCCATAATCGTGAAAAATAGTGAAGGCTCGAAGGGCCGAATGGCCTCCTCCTGCTCCTATCTTCTATGTTTCCATGCTAATATGCTATCTTCTACTCCATGAGGCGCATTCTAACAGATGCCTTCCGGAAATCTAAGTGATCATACAGTATAAAAGAGCCCACCGATTCTGTACCGCCAGGATGTATATGCAAGAGTTCCCCTTTATCTGTAGCACCTTACTCCCTCGCTGTACAGCAGTAGATTTCTGTGTAGAAACTGTATCGAATTGAGAATACATGGGTAGCTCTTTCACATGCACGGTGTTCTGTGCTATAAACTTCTATCATTCAGTAAGAATGGGGTTTGGAGACGGCCTGCCAGATCTACAAAAACAACTACCAGCTCTCGGGGATGCGCAGTCAGCTGCTGCTTGGGCGGACCTGGGCTGGAGCAGGCTATTCATTCAGCAGTCAATTCATTATTGATTCGGGATGTTGCTGCCGGATATTCTGCAGGACTGAGCCGCTTCATTCATTTACAGTCAGTCTCCTAATTCTGTGAAAGCATACAACAAGGCGTAGGTCACCTTTAGCTTCATATCACCTCTAGAAATTGCAGCAGGATGTCTTTCAAGGTAAAGATGCTTGCTATCCGATTCACACTATCCCGGGGTTGTAGACGATTGCGGTGAAGCAGACGTTTATCAGATGCAGGAATGTAGACCTATTTTGTTTTAAAAAAACGATCACGGGTAAAATAAGATCTTCTTAAACACCGACATGTTGTGGAGCCATTTCATTGTGTGCAACGTTATCTTGCACATTTTACCTTGTATTCGAATAGCGAAGCACCAAAAATTCCGAATTAGCCATTTTCTCCCAAATGTCCGAACGGCCAATGTAATCCACCATCCATGTGTTCCTATGCAGGGTCGTTTGCACATCCTGCAGATATTAAGAGAAAACCAGTTTGTGGTCTTTTAATTGCAATAATATATCGTGTAAAGCTTTTGCAACCAGTAGACAGTTGTTATAATTTCCTCCATTTTTGCAGTGTGATTTGTTACAGTTGTATTTTCAAGGGTAAGGTTGATAAATGCATGAGGCAGAAAAGAACAGAATAGTATGCTGATAGGGTAAGATGTAATTTGGTGGAAGAAGGTTCTTCTGGGATATAAACACTGGTATGAAATAGTTGGGTGGGTTGGGCCGTTTATGCAATGCACAGTCAATGTAATTTTATGCGTGGATCACTTGAGAGGGAGGAAGATGAGATAAACTGGTTGAGTTGGCTCCAAGATGACATAACAAAAATTGGAAATAACTTAACTATTAACCATAGATTTTGGTAGTATTTGTAGACCTTGCTCTTGCTATGGTGGGATTGACCATCATTTGGGAGTTGGGATTATTTCTCCTGAGTAGATAACATGCTTTGGAAGTTTTTTTTTCATTCGTGGGACGTGGGTGTCACTGGTAGAGCCAGCATTTATTGCCTGTCCATAATTGCCCTTGAGAAGGTGGTCGTGAGCTGCCTTCTTGAACTGCTGCAGTCCACCTGCTTTGGGTTATCACACAGTGCCATTAGGGAGGGAATTCCAGGATTTTGACCCAGTGGCACTGAAGGGATGGCGATATATTTCCAAGTCAGGATGGTGAGTGGCTAGGAGGTGAACTTGCAGGGAGTGATGTTCCCAGGCATCTGCGTCCCTTGTCTTTCTAGATGGAAGTCCAGTTGAGTTTCGGGTAAATGGTAACTCCCAGGATGTTGACAGTGGGTGATTCAGTGATGGTAATAACATTGAATGTTAGGGGACAAAGGTTAGATTTTCTCTTATTGAAGATGGGCATTGCCTGGCATTTGTGTGGCATGAATATTGCTTGCCACTTGTCAACCTAAGTTTGGATATTGTCCAGATCTTGTTGTATTTGAACACAGATTGTTTCAGTATCTGAGGAATTGCAAATGGTGCTGAACATTGTATAATCGTTGGTGAACATGCCCACTTCTGACCTCATGATTGAGTGAAAGTCATCAATAAGGCCAGGACACTACCCTGCGGAACTCCTGCAGAGGTATCCTGGAGCTGAGATGACTGACCTACAACAATCACAACCATCTTCCAATGTGCCAGGTATGTCTCCAACCCACCGGAGAGTTTGACCCCTGATTGCCATGGATTCCAGTTTTGTTAGGGCTCCTTGAGGCCACCTCAGTTGAATGCAGCCTTGATGTCAAGGTCTGTCACTCTCACCTCAGCTCTGGAATTCAGCTCTTTTGTCCATGTGTGAACCAAGGCTGTAATGAGGTCAGGAGCTGAGTGGCCCTGACGGAACCCAAACTGGGCGTCACTGAGCAGGTTATTGCTGAGCAGTGGCTGCTTGATAGCACTGGCAAGCAGAGGCAGCATTCTGGTCATCCAATTACACAAAGATCTGTCCAGGTAATTTCACTTCTTTCCTGCACCCTCCCCACCAAACCCACTCTTTCTCTGAAACTTTTATCCTTCTCAAATATTTATCCAATTCCTTTTCCAAAGCTCGCTGGATGAAAAAAGAGAAAGCCTCTGACTGATGTTCACTTCACAATACAAAGAAAACCAAGCAAATATGGAAGCTTCAGAGCTAAAGTGAAAAAGGAAATAAAGGAAAAGAACCTTCTAGAAATAATTATTCAGGATAGAAGTTCACATAGAAAAAGATGTGTTGTTTAATAGGAGCCAGCATGGATTTTTAAAGGGGAAACCACATTTAACTAACTTGTTGGAGTTTCTTGACGAGGTAACAGAAAGGGTCAATGAGGGTAATACTGTTGTTGTGCAAGGACATCTATAGAACATTCAATACAGTGCCACATGACAGACTTGTGAGAAAAGTTATAATTCATGGAATAAAAGGAACAGTAGCAACTTGGATACAATATTAGATGAGTGATAGGATACACAATAATGGCAAGTGAATAAAAGTAAAATACTGCAGATGCTGGAAATCTGAAACAATCACAAAATGCTGGAGAAGCTCAGCAGGTCTGGCAGCATCTGTGAAGAGAGAAACAGAGTTAATACTTTGAGTCTGGTATGGCTTGAGTTCTGAAGATGAGTAATATGGGACTTGAAGCATTAACTCTGTTTCTCTCTCTACAGCTGCTGCCAGACCTACTGAGTTTCTCCAGCATTCTCCATTTTTGTTAATGGTTAATAAATATTTTTCAGGCTGGAGAAAGAACTGTACTGGTGTTCCCCAGCAGCCAGTATTTGGACTCGTACTTTACCCAATAAATATAAATGATCTGGGTCTTGGTGTGCAGGGGATAATGTCAAAGTTTGTGGATGATGCTAAACTTGGAAGCCATTGTAAACTGCGAGGAGGATGGTGTAGAACTCCAAAAGGACATTGACAAGTTGGTGGACTGGGTGGATAGATGGCAGATGAGGTTCAATGCAGAGAAGTGTGAACTGCTGCACTTTGGTAGGAAGAACATAGACAAACATTGGTGCAGGCTCATCAGAAACATAAGAATACAAGAACTAGAAGCAGGAGTAGAAAATTCAACCCCTTGAGCATGCTTCGCTATTTGATATGATCATCACTGATCTCGTTTGATTTATTATTATTGAACTGAGATACAGTGAAAAGTATTGTTTTGCGTGCTATCCAGATAAGTCATACCTTACACAAGTACATCGGGGTAATAGAACAAAATGCAGAATATAGCGTTACAGCTAGAGAGAAGGTGCAGTGGCATACATATTCCAGACATATATTCCTCTCCCCTCCTTGTCAGAATTCTGCAGGGATCATTCCCTTTGAGACACTCTGGACCACTCCTCTTCTATTCTTGACGCTTGTGCACATTCCTACGGAAACTTCTCATGCAATCACAGAAGGTGCAGCCTTGCCGTCTACCTCCTCACTATTCAAGGCCCCAGATGCTTCCAGGTGAATCAGTGATTTGCCTGCACTTCACTCAATCTAGTGTATTGTATTCGCTGCTCACAATATGGTCTCCTCTACATTGTGTGACAACATATAGACTGGGTGACCACTTTGCCGAACACCTATGTTGTGTCTGTTGAAATAACCCCAAATTTCCTACTGCCTGCCACTTCAGCACATCACTGTGTTGCCATGCCAACATTTCTGTCTTGGCCTGCTGCAGTGCTCCAGTGAGGCTCATCGTCAGCTGGAGGAATAGCATCTCATCTTCCACTTGGGTACAGTACAACCTTAAGAACTCAATATCAAATTTAATAATTTTAGAGCATGAACAGTTCCTTCCATGTCTACTACCTACCTCCACACCCCAGGTTTTGTCATGACATGGTAGCTTTCAGCACAGCCAACCCATTTTCACCCACTCATAGACCCCATTATCATCTCTCTAGCTTCTGTTCTTCCCTGGCTCAATATGAACAATCCCTTTGTCTGCCTATTTTTTTTCTCTCTCTGTATGCTCTGTCTCCAGCTATCTGCTCATTCTTTACCCCCTCCCCTTCACACCCCGTCATCAGCATAAATACCACCTTTTCCTAGCTGCTTCTGCTTCTAAAGATGGGTCATTGTACCCAAAATGTTAACTCTGTTTTCTCTCCACAGTCGCTGCCAGACCTGCTGAGTTTCTCAGGCATTTTCTGTTTTTGTATGTTTCAGATCTCCAGCATCAGCTGTTCTTGGTTTTATTATAGGCTTAAACTGCTCAACCTCTGCTCATAAGACAAATCTCTAATCTCTGGAATTAATCTCATGAACCTGATCTCATGAATCTCACTTCCTCTAGTGCAATTACCACCCTTCCCCATACGTCCTTCCTGAAATAACAGGAACAAAACTGTATGCTGTGCTCCAAATGGGTGCTGTGTGTCTATGCACACAGATTATTGAAGGTGGCAACACAGTTGGAGAGAATAGTTAATAAAACATACAATATCATGGGCTTTATTATAGGGGCACAGAGTTATATCTCAGCTGGAGCATTATGTATGAGTCATGGGCATCACACTTTGGAAAGTCGTGAATGCTTTAGAGAGACCCAGAAGAGATTTATGACAATGGTTACGGGGATGAGAACCTGCAGGTATGTGGGTAGATTAAAGACTTCTTATGCCCAACGCTCTCTTGTAGTACCAGGTGTATCCTTGGTGCTTTCAAACCATCCTTTCATCATTACTTCCTGCAGCACTTGGAGAATTGCAACATGTGTCGTTTGCTTGATTTGAGCAAGACAGTTGACTTTACTGGTTGATGACTTTCAGAGCATGTAGAGTTACATAATAACATAGAAAACAGGAACAGGAGTAGGCCATTCAGCCCTTCAAGCCTGCTCAGCCATTCATTATGGTCATGGCTGATCATCCAACTCAATAGCCTGTTCCTGCTTTTCACTCAATCCTTTGATGCATTTAGCCACAAGAGCTATATCCAACTCCTTCATGAAATCATACAATGTTTGGACTCAATTTTGATAGTAAATTCCACAGGCTCATTTCTTTCTGGCTGAAGAAATTACTTCCTCATCTCAATTCTAAATGGTTGACCCCATATCCTTAAACTGTGACCCCTGCTTCTGGACTGTCTGTCCTTCCTGAATCTACCCTGTCTGATACCGTTAGAATTTTACAGGTTTCTATGAGATTCC